CTTACTACAAAAACGACGGAGTTTTCAACGAGGTATCAAAATTGGTTGAATTCACACTTCCTATCAATATTCGAGTCCTGAGCCCATAAAAATTAGTGGTGCATGGTTTAATAGTGCCCCTGCAATGGTTTATGGATTTAAAATGCCTGTAGGTCTGGGGCAATAGCAAAATCGTCCGAATTTGGGCGTGGGATTATCTGCACGTGCCATCAAACTTGTCACAAAATCCGAGGTCCCATTTGACAGGTGCCAACGAAATCTGACTCTATATAAAAAGATATATCGACTATCATATATCTCATAGAGTCTGACTGCGGGAGACTAACTCAAAGCCAAAATTCGTCCACTTGAACCGTGGGAAATATCGTCAGGTTCGAAAAGGTTCGAACCTGTGCGAACCTGTAGCGAACCGAACCTCGGGTTAGGTTCGGGGTTCGCCAAATTGGCCGAACCGAACCTCAGGTGCAGTTCGGGGTTCGGATTTTTTGGCAAAAAACCGAACCTAACCGAACCGCGGCAACACTAAAACGACAGTACGAGTCCAGTTTATCAAGAATGATCAATAGTGCTGCTCACCAGGACATTCAAATTCGTTACAGAGCTGCTTTTCACTGATTTGCCGGCTGGATTGGATTTTATTTGAAGCAGGAAGCTGAAATATTGGAGACAGCAGAGTCGAAGTGAGGTTGATGAAGGCTTTCAGAGTAGAGACAAGCCGAGTGGCCGACAAGAAAGGACCGGCAAACAAGGCAAGGTAGGAGAGAAAGAAGCTATTGAGTCGAATGGATACAGCACTGAGCAGACACTGCAGAGTACAGAAAATGGTGTCGCGCGACACGACGTCCCGATGTCAGTCGGGTTTGGACGAGAACAAAAAGTAGAAGTTTCAGACTGAGTTTTTCACATTCGAGATTGTAGCCAATAGTCGGAGACAAGCAGAGGAAGAGGCAAGAGAGAGGGAAGCGGGAAGCGGGAGACGATAAAGTGGGAGTCCGGGACGACTCGGAGGACGTTCCGGTTGTTGTTGCGTTGCCAACGCCGGTGGCCCATGTCCCATGTCTGTGGACGGGATGCAAAAATCAAGTTATTCAAGTTGCGAAAAAGAGAGAAAAGAGGAGAAATAGGGAGGGAGTTTCTTAATCAGATTCTCGCCCACCCCTGCGATCTTTCGGTCAGATTTGCTCCAAAAGCGAGCGCTCTGGACAGAATTCATCTTGATTCCCAAGTCCTAATCTGGCCGCGGCTTGAATTCAAGATTGCGGCATGTCCTTAGTGCATAAGGCCCTGTTCGGGATCCCAAATTAAAATCTCAATTACGATTTTCCCCCAGCCAAACGACGAATTACGGCCCAAACACCTAAAATGGTAATCACAATCAGTCACCCTCAGTCTGGACCGGTCGCTCCGTGTTCTCCGAGGCTCCAACACTTTCCTTTCGACGTCGTGCTGAACAGTCCCGCCTCCCAAATGCACGACCACGTTGGTGTATGAAATATTGTAAAAAATACATGTATATTCATCTCGAAGACTCAGGCAGTTGAATATGCTTAGTGCTAGTCTCTTATAAACAGACAATATAAACAAAAAAGTCCTCGTGCCTGCGGTTGGTATATATTAGTCTGTCGCTTCCCACGGTGCATTGACAGGACGGTCCGCTTATTATGTAATCTCAAATTTCTCGGATTCACTTGCGCAATTTCGACGCGTCTTTGCGCGTAATTCGGACGCCATCCTTACAAGACTTCTCTATGGAACATTCTGACAACATGACGCGAGACGAGAGCTATCGAAATGAGTGAGTTTTGGTTTGATGCATTGGCCGGCGGCCAAAGGCGGCCAACCTCGCAGCGTCACATATTTAGACTACCTACCCAGGTCCTGAAGAGTATGACCTTCGGAGAGTGTAAAAAATGGTTCTTTTATGCATCCTACTACCAAGACTATGCAAAAATGGGCACCCATGCGGTAGAAAGGGCGGGGAAGCTCCGTGGGAACAAATTGCCAAACAAGATGATTATATAATAAGTCGACCCTCCTAGGGCCGGTGGCGCGGTAAGTTACAGACTAGCTTAGTGCGCCGTTGAAATTGATTATATGAGTGAAATACTGTCGGGCATCGTGGAAGTCGGGATCGTGGCGGGATCCCGGTGCTGTGGCGCAGCAGTGACAAGCACCTTTCTCGTTTGTTGACGTGTTTTGACAGGTTCTCACGAGTCAGTGACTTGATGTGACCCAATTGCTAGCTAGCCAAAAATTAGCAATTTGGGATCCCGAACTGGGCCTAAGGATTCGGCCAATGTAATTCAAGATATTTTTACGGTACTTGGTGCGGTATAGAAATGCTGATACAAAAAAAAAAAAAAAAAATCTCCCATCACGTGGGTGATACGTTTTTCATTTACAATTACATAATCAACCCTTCTTCATTTCTCGGAATGGACTAATCCGGATCCCGAGGCTGAAATCACGTCCGATCCCCCTGAGTGATCGAGCGGTGACATGTTGGTGACAGGTTTAGTTATTGTCTCAGTTTGTGGACAGTCTTCGGATTCTCTGGAATTCTTTGAATTCTATCATATGGATCCTCGAAATAGTATTCTTGACGGCAGCCAAGGGTTTCATACGGACTCCGCGGCAGTGGGCCGCCATACAGTCCTCATTATGAATGACAATTCAAGCTTAAGGTTGAGCCAATCGGTTGCCCCGAGCAACGGCCGTGGGCGATGGGACCCACAAAACTCAGAATGATATAAGAATACTGGGCCACCTGTAGCCCGCCAAGAATCTGCGGCATCATGCCTGGACAGTGGCAAAAGCTCGACGCAGTTGGACCACGGTATGATTCAGACTTGTGGGATGAGACCCTAGGGATCGATAACATCGAATCAAACTGTCCGTCTCTCGTTTCCCGATTCCTGTTCCTTGAGTAACCCAAGCACGCTTCACCCCACTGACAACAGACCTCAATATCCCTTGGGGATTGCCGACGTCCAATCTCCATCCTCGTTATGGTTCGCATGAGAACACATCGGACTATCGCAGAAACGGCACGTGTTCCGTTTTCTCAGCTGTCGCTGCGTTCATATCGATCCTGAAGACTCAAACTCTTCACTTGTCTCGGATACTCTCTTTCTCTCAGCTTGGGAACCTGCAGTGTCATATATGCATCCTCACTTTCCCAGTTACCCAGGTACAACAACCATACCGCACACTCAAGTAGCGATTCCCGATCTCGAGACGGATCCATACGAACCTGCTCTCGTCTCATGTTTGACCAACAAGGGGGTTTATATTCCCCCAAACAGCATAAATCTGGGGCTCTGGTGCTCGGTGATAGCCTCTTCTTCGACGCTCTTCATCCTTACTTTTGTCAGGCTAGTCCCGCTCCCTGCGGACGACTCAAAACCCGATCTCCCCCTTCGATTGCTGATCGCTTTAGCGATATACGGAAGTCCCTCGAAGGCATTGACATTGGGTCAGATATACGATGCCCTGATTTCCCACTTTTCCTGGTTCAGAACGCATAACAAGGAGGGAACGTGGAAGGTGACTAGATATTTCCCGGTCCCCTCTTTGTTATTGACTTTCCTCAGTCCTCGGTTCGCCACTCGCTCTCACGCAATCGCGAATTCGTGAACCTCAAACGAACACGGGGCCGAAGTGGAATATGGACGCTGATGGCTTGATTGCGATATTACCGGACATTATTCTAAATCAGTTACGCTCAAATGTCCATTGGTCTCAAGCTATGTATGTATATGACGGATAATTCTATTGAGAAACCCCTGGGTTCAGGTACAGTTGCGGCAAAATGAAATGTCCCTACCATAAAAAGAAATTTGAATTAATCTTTTGCCCAATCACACATACTTTGAAGCAGATTTCTGGTGATAGAAAGAATGAAGAGACATCTACTCGTCATTACCAAAAGTGACCGGAATTTGATTTTTTTAAGAAGGAGATCTGATACGCAGACCACTTTGATTGACAAAGGCTTCCTCATGTTCTCTAGAGATTACATCCTATGGGCACGGCATATGATACCTCTCTTTCAGTCAATGAATTAATCTTCGAAATTTGACCAATTTGGCAATGTTTGGCGCTTCTGAAGCACGGATGCCAGAATTTCAGGTCAGTGAGTACCTCAAAAATACATTTAGTATCTCAAAGGTCCGTGTATGAGAATTCTAAGGTGACCAGAGTTTGCTCGTGGTTCAATGAGAGCCGAAGCGTGCCGAGATTACTATCATGTGGGTGCTGGCCAACTTTTCCTCCGAAATTTTTGAAAAGTGTCCCGTTTGGTGAGAAAACCACATTGAAACACTCAGAAAAAAAAGTGGTCTGATTGCTTTCTCTACCATCTCTTTCTCGGTAAGTTCCGCATGCTATGGGACGGTTCAACCACTGTGCGCAGATCTTGCCTTTCAAATTCCTTTCAACCATTGCACACGGCTGTCCTAGAAATAATACTGAGGCCTTAAGGCTATCTGCTGGCCAGCTAGCATGGGAAGTACCACAAGTCTATGAATAGAACTGTTAATTCAGAAATGATTTCAACTTTCATACTTCAACTTCAAGCAAAGTGTGCTGCACAATCTCAGCTGCTAGGTAATTGCCTAAGGAGAGTTCTGTTGATACGGCTCTTCATCTCCCGGACTATACGAGTCGATTCACGGTTACTTTTGTCAATACCGAGTACATGGCTTTCTGAGTAAGAAACCAACCTGTTTACAACTCGTCGAAAGTGTTGTAGCATCCATCTCTATCCATCTCCAGTGAGTGCCGCGCTGTGCCGGGCCTGCCGAAATGCATGACCAAGTCACTGCCGGCAATTTCAACCACGTTTTGAATGTAGAACTTCTACATTCAAAACTACTAGAAGTGGTGTCAGAACCATTACTTCGCTTCAACTAACAAGCATGCTGTAATACTGCATAGCCTTGAGTAATAAGTCAGCTAGTGACTTAGTCCAACATGCTTGGATCCGGTCCCAACCTAACGGACTGGTAGCTCAGTTGGTAGAGCCACCACTATATATGCGGGAGGTCTCGAGCTCGATCCTCCACCAGTGCATTCTTCCTTTTACACACTTTCAATACCTCCGCGGTTTTGAGAAACCCCGAGTGAGATCTAGATGACCAAGAGAGGACATGAGAAAGATTCGAGCACTCTCGTAGGGGATCAACGTTCAACGTTCAACACTCGTTCAACATTTAGAATCGTGGGTTGAATTTGAACATGACACCGAGCATCCTCGTAGGGGAATCCCGGGTGAAGAGGACATGAGAAAAATCCAAGCACTCTCGTAGGGGACTAATACTTAGTAACATCCAGAATCATGATTTGAATTTGAACGCTCGTCCTGGAACAATGAATACTGTCCTTAGACGTCTGATTTCTTTCTTTTTTTTTTTTTTGGAGCGTTGGGTCTGAACCTAACGATTGTCAGTCTGCATATGCATTCCGAGTCGTCCGCTTTGGTTACTGTTTGTGGACCAGAAAATGCCGGGGAAGTTGTCCAGGAGGAAATGCCTTACGCACGAATAAACCAGTGTGGGACTCCAGCCGTTGAGTTTCATCCAATTCCAATTTTCATGGGCTGTATACCCACTAAAACCCCCCTAGTGAATGTCCAGCACTGTGAAGGTGGGGGTACATGAAAATCATGTACCTCAGTACCCCGATTTTCATGTATCCACACTCTGTTTACCAGTCGCCGGGCCCCGATTTTCATGTACCGAGCGCCGAAATAAAATCATACTCTTTTTTGACGTTTTCATGTGCCATTTTAATGTACCAAGCGCATGAAAATTACTAAAAAGTTCAGAGAACCGTCTCAAATCATACGAATGGTATATGAAAGTCGAATGAGGGTGGGTAAAATTCATAGGAAAAGTATATGATATTAAAGCTCTATCTACGAACAAATTGTGGTAAACGACACATAGGCGGTCGACAACCTCGACGCCCTCGCTCGACGGCGACCCTTCACACTCATCCTCATACTAAGATGCGAACCCTAGTTGGTGAACGCGGTTGCGACTACGCAGCTTCAGTGAAAATATGAAGAAAATGATGCCTGTTGACGCACCGTTGACCCGCTATTGGTATATCCATCTCGTCCCCCGGCTCACTAGTATTGTGCTCTTGCTGCCCCGATATCGCTTCATCTTCTCAGTCGTCGTCGCCGAGACCGTTATTGCTACCAGAAGACAGGTTGCCACCTCACAACTAGCGAATACAATACACTGCGGGACGTACCGTGACTTCCTGAATTCAGCCCACGCCTCGTATGCAGCCTGCCCGTCTCCACCTTGGTATCTAAACAACGCGCCAGCCGTGGTCGTTGTTGTCGCTATGCGGTCCGTCAGCTACAGTCAAGCTACTTACACACTGAAGGAGGAAGTGGAAGAGGCGGCGACGGCGACGGCGACGGCGACAACGGCGACGGCTCTAGAGCAGGTGCTGGCGTCGTAGTGGTGGTGGGTGGTGGGTGGTGGTGGGAGACAAGAGACGAGCAGGACGTCCGCAGCATAAACGTGCTGCGGATGTGGAGCTCTGACGTCATTGGCCGGCATCCCCGGCAGTTGGACTTAGACGTTTTTGCGATTTGTCTGCCAGCACGGTCCGCCGATTTTAATCCCACAATCCATGATTTTACCAGGAGCTGACCATAGGATGAACCCATGAACTAGGTACATGAAAATCGGGTGCCGATGTTTTCACAGTGGCAAGTACCGGATCTTTCTGAAAATTCAGGCGAGTACCCTTTGGACCACTCCGGTGGATCTCCGAACATCTCAAGATGCTTCTCCTTGCATGAAGAGGTCGCCGGAACGAAGCCGACAGCGATCAGAGTATGTTTGGCTGTGTTTAACTGCTTCTGCTTCCTGCTGTCTACTTCCATCTCGCGCGGCGCTATTGCATTCTTGTCTCGTTCTCTCACTATGGGACTCGCTCAAAGCATGTTATTAACACTCCTCAGTCATATCAGCTCTCAGAGTCGTCCCGTTGGGCCGTCACGTCTCATCTTCCCAGCCAATTTGGATAGAGATTCTTTTCGGAAGGAGCGCGCTTGAGAAGGTCTCCGACGCGTTCAGACGCGTTGTTTTAGAGCAGGCTTATTTAATGCACCCTGGCAAGACTCTTAGGTGGTTATGGGCGGCTACCAGAACCAAGGTCCGTGTGTTTCAAATGCAGACCGCGATTTTTTCTCACTGTAAAGATTCCGTCTTCTGCCTTGCGATACTCACCAGATCTTTGTGCATTGTGTGGATATCGGCAACTCTGGCAATTAACTCGATGCGTTTACCAGCATTCTATAGCTGCAGAGGTGCGTTATTTGCTACAATTTTTTGCTTCTTCGTCCCCCGCCGTCCACGTCACCTTCGATTCTGCCGGTTCCCTTGTTGCTCTCAGGAGTAACCTCAAACCTCTCACACGGGACCCGCTCTATGGACGTGGTGCTGACCTCGCACGCCGTCTTCGGATCTCTGAACCAATTCCTGTCATTAACAACTCTCCTGCCTCGCATGCGCTCTTCACCGCCGTCCTCGACTCACGCCCAATCACCACGTTCCCCACGCGCTACACCCGATCCAATACCGCCCTCCGCTGATCGAACTCCCCCGTCTCAGTCTGAAGACTGTTCAGTCAGCCGTGATCCCCAAACAGATTGCACGGATACAGCCTACCTGTCCGTATATAGCGCAATAAATTGTTTGTTTAGCAATAATACAGTGCGCCGGATGAATGAGTGCAAGTAAAATCACCCACTGGTAATTCGTAAGCGCCGAAATTGTCCTACAGCGGAGTCAATGGGTGTAATCAATACAATTTTGAAGGGAAGTGTACGACCTGTTAGGAATGCAAGGCAGACTCAATAAATCCAGATCGAATGAATCGAATTGTAACGAAACCGAACGCAATTAGGTGAAACGACGAAGACACGCACCACAATGTGCATCTCATTGCACGTCGCAGACAGAGAATCAACCTCACGAGAAAATGAAGCTGGGTCAAATGAATACAACACACTCAAGATTGAACCGAACCAAATTCCAACGATGACAACTCCTTGCGCAGTTCTCACAGAGTAGATGTACTGAGGAATGCAAGCTATCAATCGAATCAGCGTCAAGAAAAGTCTGATAATGCAGTAGAATCACTTTGAATTAGAGTCAAAGGAGAACTATCAACGGAGATATGAGTTCGAACCAGACGTTCTCATAATCGCAGCAGAGCAGGATTCGAATGGGGAGTAAGTAGGAAGCGACAGGAGGGAAGGGAGTACAAATATGAACCCCACTCCCCGAAGATACTAGGCCCAGTTGCAACTTACTTGAAACACACTCTCACTATCATCACTAGTTTGCTCTGTCCGTCCATGTTCACTCATAAGTCAAGTAAGAATTACACCTAGGGTTGTAAAGGTGTACGCAATTGGGTAAAGGTCAGGAATGTATTTACTTCTCGTCTATCTTTTGTGCTATCTTTACTGTTTGATTTTTCTGCCTCGGTGCAAAATAAGCGGGGTTGTAGGGGATATACCGAGTATTCAGTCCCTCGTTGAACATGGTTATTGCTCTTGAGGTTTCACTGTGTATTGGAACGATGGCTGCCTAAGTATATGAATTAAAATTTCTGTCACGAACATTCACTTTCGAGTCTCATTGTTGTCAGGTACCGGTTGAAACCTTGTAGTAGGTACCGGTGAGTTTGAGTTTGATTCTTACCTGTAGCCCATGTATTCGATGGCTTGAGTCTAATATCTGATCTACGAGCTAAAGGCTGAAGAGGGAAAACGCGGAAGGAACGGTTGGTGTTTCCTAAACGGGTAGGTGGCTGTGTTGTTGGCATCACTTCCGGGCATCAAAGAGTCAAGCGGTGTCAAGGCGGTGCGATAACGTTGTAAATCTTAGGAACTAAGTGACGTCAAGTGCTCCGAAGTGACGCAACCGAATGGAGCCTTACTAGTCTCGGATCTTCTCGGATACCCAGACGTTCCGCAGTTCGAGAGGGCGAGATTAGATATAAATCAATCAAACGTCAAAACTGTCATTGGAATTACGAATTATGAAAGAGCTCCGGCTCTGCGTAAACTACGCCAACAAGGATTACGCAGGAAGGTCTGGGTATCCGAGACTAGACATTACCACGAAACTGAGTCCTACCACCGGCAAGGCGCTTATACAGTTGCGGCAATAGGCCGCAAATGTACGTAAGATAGACGTCACCCCAATCCGGCACCCTTACATAAGCATTACGTTTGCACAGGCACCCGCCAAATCCTGAAGGTTTGAAAAATCAACTTACTCTGTTTGCGATTTTGAGGTCTTGGGAACTTTTTTACAGCAGTTTGCAGATGTAATGACACCACGTCGCATCACATGTAAAGAAAGCACGAAAAACACGTCTTCTTGTATCGCCTCGTTCTTGCTCGTTTCTTGCCCAATCTCGACTATTCTTGTACAGTGCCGGACACGCAAAGTCGAAAATGTTGATTGCCGGCGAACGGGAATTTTGGGGATAAATCTGACTTCAGATTCGGATTCGCCGACCCCTGAAAAGCTCAAAAAACCACCTCCGAAGTTTTTCCCACGACATTTTGGCTGTGGCCAAATTTTTGAGGTCAAAAATCGAAACTGTGTGTACCCCTTTTGAGCTCCGAGCGCAAAATTACTGATCCTTGGCAGGTGTAAGTGGAAGGGTGACGGCCTGAACTACAATCTGGGCGGTAATCCGTGCGGATTTTCAGCATCAACCCACGGCAGCGGCACGGCATGGTGGTCGGCAAGCATGTTGACACATGGTTTGTGATAGAATTGATGAACATGATGTAAGTTGTCCAAATACGGCGATGTTTCTCAAGGAATTTGTGCCAAAACGGCTCGTGAAATTGTTTTGATTTTGCCAGGGACAGAACCAGCTCAATTAACGGAGTCGATTGCGCCATGTTTCGTAATTTTCCCATGAAATCTCGGTGTCCGGCCAAAATTTTGGGGTCCGATTTTTTGATTTTGAGTTTTGGGGAAATCGGCTCGTGCAAAACCGTTGTTTCGGTCTATAACATC